GATTTGATCAGAAATGCACCATATTGCAGAACTCGACAAGCTACATCAAATGTGTGAATTTAAGTCAACAAATTGTTCTTATCATTTGCAATGCGACGATTGACATCAAATTGCACCATGTGATGAAGCTGTTCGTTGAGTTTCATCAGTTTCGTGTTTTTCCGTATTCGGTGGTGGGCATATACCATTTTCCGGATCCGAATGCTTCGCATAATACACCTCACCGAGCTGATTGAAATCCTCCATCCTTTCTGAAGTTTTGATCAGAAATGCCTCATAATGCAGAAATCGACAAGCTACATCACATGGTTGACTTTGAGTGAACAAATTGTTCTTTTCATTTGCCATGCGAGGATCGACATCAAATTGCACCGCGTGATCAACCTGGTTGTCGAGCATCATCTGCTCTACTTCTCTGATCCCTCTCCACTTCGGAAACGAACACGCGATTTTCGAAAGATGGCGTGCTAAACTTCATCCACATGATTCAAATATTTTTCTTCGTTGATGGTTCGACCTGAGTCTGAACAGATCTTACATCACATGCACTGGTTAAGGCCGCACACGAAAATTGTCGAGTTCCCTCATCGAATCCCCTTTCGTGTTTTTCCGTATTCCCTCAATGTCAATTATGTCTTGTAGCTCGTCGAGTTTTTGCCTACGATGCATTTCCGACAAAAACATCATCAATGATTACGTATTCCAAGCGGCGCGGCGAAAACTATTGTACGATGCATTTGGATGCCGAAAATGATATTTTCCGTCTCACGGATACGGAAAATTACGAAAGTGCATTATATGATGTAACTCGACGGTTGTTATCAATGAGGTCAGTTTCAGTTCACGTTCGGCATTTGGAAGAACGCAAAATTGTAGCTCGTCGAGTTGATTTGACCAGCGCTCATTCATTGGAATTTTGCTTTTTGCTTCATAAACATCGTTTGGATTACTCAAATGAACCGTCTGATGTATTTTGTGTGCGACCTAAAGCATTACATCTGATGTGTGATCAGACCAGATTCCGGTCGAAAGATCAAACACGAAAATAATTTGAATCATCTGGATCAACTTTATCACGCCATCCTTCAAAAATCGCATGATCGCTTCCGAAAAGGAGAGGGATCAGAGAAGTGGAGCAGATGGTGCTGCAGGACCAGGTTCATTACGCGGTGCCATTTGATGTCGAGCCTCGCATTGCAATTGAAAAGAACATTTCAATCGATCAAAGCCAACCATGTGATGTAGCTCGTCGCGTTCTGTCGTTTGGTGCCTTTCTGATCAAAACGTCAGTAGAAATGAGGGATTTCAACCAGCTCGGTCAGGTGTATTGTACGTTGCATTTGGATCCGGAAAATAGTGTTTTCCGTCCAAAGACAACGGAAAAACACGCAAGTGGAGTAAATGATGGAGCTCGACTATTTTTCTGTGCGGCCTAAACCAGTGCATCTGATGTGTGATCAGTTCAGACTCAGGTCAAAAGATCAACAAATAGAAATATTTGAATCTTCTAAATGAAGTGTAGCTTGCCGTCTCTCGAAAATCGCGTTTTCGTTTCCAAAGAGGAGACGTATCAGAGAAGTGAGGCCAATGGTGCTCGACGACCAGGTTGATCACGCTGTGCAATTCGATGTCGATGCTCGCATTGCAATTGAAAAATAAAACTTGTTCACTCAAGTCAACCGTGTGATGTAGCTCGTCGCGTTCTGTTTTTGGTGCATTTTTGATCAAAACATCAGTAAAAATAGAGGATTTCAACCAGCTCGGTCAGGTGTTTTGTACGATGCATTTGGAAGGAACTGGACAAATAAGTGCATCACACAGTGCAGTTTGAGGTCGATCCTCGCATTGCATTTGAAAGGAACAATATGTTCAATGAAAGTGCATTTCCCATCAAAACATTAGCAGACAGGACGCATTCCAGGCGGCACGGCGAAGTGTATTGTCCGATGCATTTGGATGCAGAAAATCATAATTTCCGTCCAACGGATACGAAAAAACACGAAAGTGAAGCAGGAAGAAGGAGATGAAAGTCGATGTGCACTGTGCTAATCAGCTCGACGAGCTACAGTTCTGCGTTACTTCCGAATGCCGATTGCGACCTGAGAATAAACAATCGTCGAGTTACATCATCTGCTCAACTTTCGTGTTTCTCCGTATCCGTTGGACGTAAAATATGATTTTCTGCATCCAAAAACTTAGTACAATACACTTCACCGAGCCGCCTCACATGCTTCATCCCTACTGTTGTTTTGATCAGAAATGCTCCATAGGACAGAACTCGACGAGCTACATCACATGGTTGGCTTTGAGTGAACGAATTGTTCTTTTCAGTTGTAATGCGAGGATCGACATCAAATTGCACCGCGTGATGAACCTGGTCGTGCAGCACCATCTGCTTCATTTCTTTGATCCGTCTTGTCTTCTGTTCCGAAAACGCGTTTTTCGAATTCCGCATGATAGCCTTCAACCTGATGATTCAAATATTTTGCTTGTTTGATCTTGTGAACTGAATGTGAACTGATGACACATCGGATGCACTTCATCCGGATGATTCAGATATTATATTTGGTTCATTTTTTGACCTGAATGTGAACTGAACAGCGATGCTTTTATGCAGGTCGCACATAAATTCAATCAGAAGGTTCATTTGAGTATTCCCAACTATATTTTGGAATCAAAATGAAATTTGCAAATCGATGGGCACTGAGTGAATCAATTGGACGAGCAACGAATTTGCGTTCCTCGCAAATGCCGAACGTGACCTGCAAATGGAGTGATTCACAACAATCGTTGCGTTCCATCATCTTCTTCACTTTCTTGATTTTTCGAAATCGTTGGACGGGATATACGATTTTCCGCATCCGAATGACACGTTCCATACACCTGACCGAGTTGGTTGAAATTCTTCGTTCCTACTGCTGTTTTGATCAGAAGTGCACCATATTGCAGAACTCGACAAGCTACATCACATGGTTGACATTCAGTGAACAAATTGCACCGCGTGATCAACCTGGTCGTGGAGCACCATCTGCTTCACGTATCTGATGGTCTTCGTTAACGAAATTGCAATTTTCGAAACCCCCGAGATACGCTTCTTCCAGGTGATTCAAATATTTTTCTGGATTGATCTCTTGACTTGTGTCTGAGCTGATCACACATCAGATGCACTGCTTGAGGCAGCACACAAAAATACATCATACGGTTCATTTGAGTAAACTGAACTATGTTTCGGAAGGAATAAAATGGCAAATTAATGGGCACGTGCGAATCAACTCGACGAGCTACAATTTTGCGTTCCATCCAAATGCCGATCGCGAGCTGAAACTGGACTGATTCATAGTTATCGTCGAGTTAGATCATCTATTTCAATTTGGTGTTTTTCGGTATCCGTTAGAAGGAAAATATGAATTTCTGCATCCAGAAGCATCGTACATTTCACTACGCCGTGCCGCTTTAAATGCATCATCCCTACTGATGTTTTGGTCGGAAATGCTCCATGGGACACACCTCGACCAGCTGCATCACTTTGTTTTCCTTGAGTGAACAATTTATACATTTCATTTGCAATGCGTTGATCGACCGAAAATTGCAGCGCGTGATGAACCTGGTCGTGCAGCATCATCTGCTTCACTTTCTTCTTTTCCTTCTTTTCTTCGGAAACGAAAATGTCTATATCGAGATCCGCGCGGAACACCTCCTCCAGTTGATTCAAATATCTTTCTTCGTTGATTTTTTCACCTGAGTCTCAACTTATGAAATATCAAATGCACTGCTTGGGGCCACACAGAAAATACATCAGACGGTTCATTTGAATACTCCGAACTATGTTTCGGAAGGGAAAAAGAATTGCAAATCGATGAGCACCATGTGAATCAACTCAACGAGCTACAATTTTGCGTTTCTCCCAAATGCCCAAAGTGACCTGAAACTGATCTGATTCATTCATCGTCGAGTTACAGCATCTACTTCACTTTCGTGTTCCTGCGTAAGCGTTTGACAGAAAATATGATTTTCTGAATAAAAATGCATCGTACAATTCACTTGGCCGTACCGCCTGGATTGCGTCAACGCTACTGATGTTTTGATCAGAAATGCACCATAGGACAGAACCGTACGAGCTGCATGACATGTTGACTTTGAGTGAACAAATTGTTCTTTTCAATTGCAATGAGACGATTGACATGAAATTGCTTCGCGAGATGGACCTGGTCGCAAAGGACCATCTGCTTTACTTCTTTGATGCTTCTTGTATTCCGATCCAAAAATGCGATTTCCAAGATCGGCTCGATGACCCTCTTCCGGGTGATTCAAA